CAAGTGACTCAAAGTACATACTTAAAATACTCTAAGTGGCTGTATGAATAATAACTAATCTTATTAAATATGCAAGTGACTCAAACTCTCCACAGTGGCGTAATTATCTTAGTTAATCTATAAATGACTTAACATGTTTCAATAGATAATTATATCAAATTATTATTTAAAATTGTTCATTGACCAAAATTAAATAAATATTATTATTATTATTATTATTATTATTATTATTATTAATTTCATTCGGTGTTATTGTAGGTTTTTTATAAGTATATATGTTATTTGTTGATCGGCTTAGTTATTTTTTTTAACTAAATTTATTGTTTATATGAATCCTAAATAATAAAAACAACGTAATTAACATAAAATACTTACAAACCAAATTATTTTTATAAAATAATACTGATATCTATATTGAATAGAACCTGGTTAGGACTCTGTTCGAACTGAGAGCAAAAATATCTGAGTAACTAATTTGTAGTAGAAATTGAATTTATTATTATTTCAACATTTACTGTATTAAAATGGAAGTGGCTAAAATTCTCCATACATACCTAAAATACATGAAATGGTTCAAGCACAGTGGCGTAATTGACCCTTAAGAGACTTACCATATCTGAATAGTTAATATTATAAAACGTGCAAGTGGCTCAAACTCTGTAGTACATACCAAATGGCTCAAACTCTCGACATTGGCATACACAAATATGCAAGTGGCTCAAACCCTCCATATTAGCGTAATTAACCTATTTGATTAGTTGATTATATAGTATATGCAAGTGGTTCAAACTCTCCTCAGTACATACTTAGAATACACAAAGTGGCTCAAGCACAGTGGCATAATTGACCTGTAAATGACCTAAAATATCTGAATAGTTAATCTTATAACGCGTGCAACTGGTTCAAACTCTCCGCAGTACACACCAAGTGACTCAAAGTACATACTTAAAATACTCTAAGTGGCTGTATGAATAATAACTAATCTTATTAAATATGCAAGTGACTCAAACTCTCCACAGTGGCGTAATTATCTTAGTTAATCTATAAATGACTTAACATGTTTCAATAGATAATTATATCAAATTATTATTTAAAATTGTTCATTGACCAAAATTAAATAAATATTATTATTATTATTATTATTATTATTATTATTATTAATTTCATTCGGTGTTATTGTAGGTTTTTTATAAGTATATATGTTATTTGTTGATCGGCTTAGTTATTTTTTTTAACTAAATTTATTGTTTATATGAATCCTAAATAATAAAAACAACGTAATTAACATAAAATACTTACAAACCAAATTATTTTTATAAAATAATACTGATATCTATATTGAATAGAACCTGGTTAGGACTCTGTTCGAACTGAGAGCAAAAATATCTGAGTAACTAATTTGTAGTAGAAATTGAATTTATTATTATTTCAACATTTACTGTATTAAAATGGAAGTGGCTAAAATTCTCCATACATACCTAAAATACATGAAATGGTTCAAGCACAGTGGCGTAATTGACCCTTAAGAGACTTACCATATCTGAATAGTTAATATTATAAAACGTGCAAGTGGCTCAAACTCTGTAGTACATACCAAATGGCTCAAACTCTCGACATTGGCATACACAAATATGCAAGTGGCTCAAACCCTCCATATTAGCGTAATTAACCTATTTGATTAGTTGATTATATAGTATATGCAAGTGGTTCAAACTCTCCTCAGTACATACTTAGAATACACAAAGTGGCTCAAGCACAGTGGCATAATTGACCTGTAAATGACCTAAAATATCTGAATAGTTAATCTTATAACGCGTGCAACTGGTTCAAACTCTCCGCAGTACACACCAAGTGACTCAAAGTACATACTTAAAATACTCTAAGTGGCTGTATGAATAATAACTAATCTTATTAAATATGCAAGTGACTCAAACTCTCCACAGTGGCGTAATTATCTTAGTTAATCTATAAATGACTTAACATGTTTCAATAGATAATTATATCAAATTATTATTTAAAATTGTTCATTGACCAAAATTAATTTAAATACATGAAAAATGCCTAATACATTGAACTACTTTAAAATAAGGCGTAATTAGTCATTTAGTGAGATTAGAACTCACCTGTTCAATTCACTATGATACCAAATTATAGGATAAATGTCTCTCACAAGGTATTATATGAACGTATGGGGTTTTCTCTACTATGTTTGACCGCCTGAAATTAGTGATTGTCTGCAGAATTTAAATTTTATACAAGGTCTATAAAAAGTATATTTCTTCAAATTTTTAATTTAAAATTAGCCCACTACTGTTTATAGTACATATTCGTATATATTTTATTATTAAATTATTATTAGTAATAAAATTAAAAATAAAATATATTGTAGATGAGTACAAAACTACTTATTGTTTTCTTTGCAGGAAGAGCTTGTGTTTTACAACGATGATGGAAGTTTTCAGTCTGTGGTTGTTGAGACGAATTTATGTGCCAACGATCTGTGTCAGCTTTTAGCTATGAAGAATAGAGTTCCAAAAAGTGTCCATTGGAGCATCGTTGAATATTGGGTTGACTTGGGAGTTGGTAAGTCTAAATTAATTTAGAGCACCTAGCTTAATGTTTTTAGAAACTAAACTTGAATTGAAGTTTTTTTAAAAAATCATTACTTGACTTGACCTGGTTTCAAGGAACGCTGAAATTTATTATGTGCCAAAAAATGCAAAAGATACGAACGCATTATTTCGAGTCTAGTTGCAATGACCTAAGATTGTAGTTTTCCGATTCTAGTGAAAAGCAACTTTCCATACCATTTCTGTTTCAAATATACACATTAAGCAACAATTCTATAAAAAATTAAATTATGCATTTACTATTCACAGCAAATAGTTTTATTCTAATTCTAAAGCTACGGCTATTACGTGGGTGACTAAGTCAAAGGGTCACGCCTGTATCTCGCTTCTGATTAGTGCTAGCAAATTATTTTTTTATCTATTCCAGTTTAACACAATGATCAAAATTTTTTCCAAATATATTTTTCTTAAAAATATTTATTTCTACGAAAGGATGACTTCCAAGTGTTTCCTTTATACACCTAAATCACAGAAGCTTTTATTAGATACAAGTTAATATAGAAATATGTAATGGTATGGCTTCGGTTAACCTTGAAGAATTACTTGATTTTACAAGTGCTTGAAATAAACTACTTGGCGTGACTTGATATTCGACTACTATCACTTAAATTAAATTTGACTTAATTTCAAATTAAGCAAGACGTTTGAAAATCAACGCAATTAGACGAAAAAAGCAGGAAACCTCTACAAAATTCCCTTCAAGCTGTTTTTTGTACATACGTTCTTTGCGGTGTCCCCCTTTTGGAGATATTCAAGGTCAAAGTTTCAAAAACAAGTTTTTTTGCGAATATCTGGCGCCCAATACATTGGGAATAGGAAAAATATTATGTATAAGATTGACCTGCATTTTTTCCAAAGGTTCTTTCTTCTTGAGATGCGAAATTGGTAATTTGTGGCATAATTTCAATTATTTCAAATATATTTCAATTCTGTTTCAAAAATATTTTTTTGGAACTCTAAATTACGTATCTTGAAGATAATTAAATTCTTTACAACTAACTTCATGAACGTCCGAGCGAGATATTCACGAAAAACCGTTTTCTTTGGAAATTTGACCTTGAATATCTCGAACAGGGTGAGGTTTTGAAAAAAATGCAAGAGACCAATTTTGTAGATAATTGAATTCTCTTATGGATGTCCGATGCACAGAACGCGAGATATTTGCAAAAAACTTTGACCTCATGTTGAGAATTCTATGATTTTTACGGATTTGGGTTTGAGGCACCCAAATAACATCTGTCCAAAAATTCAGCTTGGAGGGAATTTTGCGAGGTCAAATGCTAATTTCCCTAGGCTAAGAAGTCGTTCTGTGGATGTGGATCAGCAAAAAAGCCTTAATAAACCTAGTTGATTTAAAGCTACTGATTTTCAGAAGAACGTCGAAATAAAATATAAAAATTCATTTTAAAATGTTTGATTAGGTTAACCGAATTTGGATAAATGAGAAATTGAAAGTAAACATTGATGCATTAAGGCTTTTTTGGGTGTAAAGTCATCAAAACACTTCGAAAAAATCCTTAAAAGCAGAATTTAGAAATATGGTGATATAGAAAAATGGAATTACAATTTCTCATACTGCTTCCTATAACTCGTATATAAAATTATGTCCTATAACGTATATTTTTCAGAAACTGTAGTAGGATATATTGTGGTGTTAAATCAATCATTTGATGCGTTAAAGAAAGAGTATGTGTGATCTGATAGTAGTTCTAATCTAATAGAAAGAATTTAGTAATTTATTTTGTGTCAAAGGTCAAGAATTTACGTACTTATTTTAATAAAATTAATTAATCATAATCTATTGTGTTTACAAACATGTTTTTTTATACATATTAAATATCTATATTTATTATTAATTATTGTACATTATTTTTTTTACTTTAAATATGAAAGCACAATAATTATAATAATATATTAACTTTCATATTAAATTCAATTAAAAAATTATGAAAATGACGGTAATTTGAATTAATAACTCATACGTAAACAGGTAAACCATAATTTATTTGTATAAATGCAAGGAATATATTTACACTAAATATATCTCATATATTTTGTTGTATGCAGTTATTAAAACTTTTTTTTTCAACAAAAAAGTTAAGTAAAATTAAAATATATTAATCAATTTACATATTTAATTTTTTTTCATATTTTTGGTTTTATTTACAAGGAAGGTAGAAAAGAAAATGTACTTGTCTCGTGTTTATTTGTCCTTTACAACAGAACGAGTTTCATTGAAATTGGTGGCTGGCACTTCGATAACGTTCCTTGCTAGTCGTACCTACTACTCTATTTTGTTTTTTTCTGTTTGATAATTTAATAGAAAAAACATAAGAAATCATGTAATTTAGTAAGAACAGAAATTGAAATCCAATTTTGTCCAACGAGGTACCATAGTACTCTTGTAGATGAAGATGTCGCTACATAAAATATATCTGCAATAAAAATTATACTCCTATATAATATTATGCAGGAATTTTTACGACCATAAGAACGAACTAATCGCCTTACTTAGATGTAAAAGCACATGACCGCGCTAAGCACAGAACCTTTAAGAGAAAAAAATAATGTTGCCTTCTTGTCGCACAAATTATTCGTCAGTTATAAGTCAGTTTTCAGAAAGAATCATTGACTTTTTAACTAATCTCCCGTGGGAAAATATGTAATTCCTTGATTAATTAATTTTAAAAATTATTATTATATTACTTCAATCAAATCGACATTTTATTAAAAATCATACTTACATATGTGCAAATATGTTTATCTTTTTCTTTAGTTAAATTCGAAGTTAAATTGTTGAGTCATATTTATTAATTCTTAAAAATCAATTCACTATAACTGAAAATTAGGTTGTTTTATAAAAATTTAATTTTATAAGTTGAAGAATTCTATAGTTTTAGGAAATATGGAAAAATTATCTTACGAAAAGTCTTTGACTTATGTGACAATAAAAAGTAAAGGTGTATTTTGTCATACAAAATTATTCTTTCCAGCGACTGAGAATCAACAAAACCAACTTGGATTTACCAAACTAACCATAGCAAATGTATTGTTCGTGAAAAATCGCTAAACCATTTATCATAAACTAATTTTTACGGTGCTATTTCAAATCGACTGGATTAAATATCTAACAAATTTGAAAAAATGAATGAACACATCTTAAATAATTTTATTCCTTATGAATTAATATTAAACAGGTACAAAATATGAATGAAACTTTAATCGATATATTTATTAGAAGCCGTCATAGAAAAATTCAATCTACCTCAGTAATTTTCCAGAGAAATCATCATTTGTAATGAAAGATGCAAAAATCATACATATTTGTATAACTTTTGTATTGTTGTCTCTGTCTATTTTCTGTCCAACGCTGAGTGAAATCGACAGCCAATATCATTGGCGGGGAAAAATGACCTCGGATGGGGCCGGGTCGAGCGGTACTATCGCTCTTTACCCACGCCATCTCTGTGCTCGCCATCCCGAGCGGCTCGTGGAGCTTTGTTCTGTCCTGAGTGAGCCCCGTCGTTTCTTCTGGCGCTCTTCTTTTTTCATTGGCTAGCTGCGGCCGATAAAATAAACATTTTATATATAGAGCGTCGCGGACATTTGGACCTTTAGTACGCGCTCCCAATATACAGGGTATTCAAAAAAGACCCGAACCACCGATGACTTTTCAAAATTGAGTCGCATCGATGTCTAGTCCTAAATTCCATGACCTAACCAAATAGATCAGAACCAGTCTTATGTCTAATACAATTTAACGAAAACAACTTCTTACGGGCATATTACGTTCACTTTACATATTCCAATGAAATAAACAATTATACGCAGCTACGGCATGATCAGTATGAAAATAGACAAGGACTCATTTAGGAAAGTGGAAATATTTCTTTGAGTATTCACCTCGAAAATATTTCTTAAAGAAAAATAATAAGTTACCATCTACATCAACCTATCCGTAGTATGTATTTGCGCCAGCCACTTCATTAGCCGAATCAATATTTTAAATTAATCGAAAAAGACATAAAGTCGCAACATAAGGAATTTTGGACATAGACTAGTTCTGTTTTTAAGATATAAATGTATACAGGGTGTCCCAAAAGTGACGCCTGTCTTTCTGGGATTTGATTAAGGGGACAAAAACGAATTGAAAATCAAATTTTCCTATTATTTCAAAAATTTATTCAAAAAACTAAAAAAGCGAAAATACTTTTTTTTTGTCTCCAAACTGAAATCTGTGCTTATGAGGATCAAGACAAATAATTTATAACCAATAGTCGGTAATTATAGTTTCCGATTGTCGGTTGTATCATGGTGTTAGGAATTATTTTAATCTGAAAAGGATGGAGAAAAACATTTTAATAATAAAACTATTTTATAAAATATATAAAAACTAAAACTATATTCTTAAATAATAGAAATTGTTTTTACAAAATGTGTTCAAATAAGTTGCCTTCTACTTCAAAACAAAGACTAGCACGATTCAACATTGAAACATGAACGCTTTGTAGCATTTCTTGGTCTATTAACGTGACGGCAACGTGTATACGGGCTACTACATTTTCTGGATTTACAGCAGGTTCATGTAAGTCTTTTCTTTTAAATACCCCCAAAAGAAGAATCTAGGGGATTCAGATCTGGTGGTCTAGGAGGCTATGCTATGAGTCTACCCTCTTCTAATCCATCTATCTGGGATGTTTTGATTCGGATAATTTCATACTCGTAAACCATAATGTGATGGAGCTCCATCATGTTGAAACCAATAATTTAGTCTAACTGTCAACGGAACGTCATCTAGCAATGGCAATGGTAAATTTTCATTTAAAAACATACAGCTGCAGTAAATACAGCTCTGAACTACATAATTATTTAGTAACCCAGCCCAAATGTTTATCTGTTTTTGTATTTTGAATAACTCAACAAAGAAAAATAATCGGAAAATTTTCCACTCTT